AGGTGAGGTGAGGTGAGGTGAGGTGAGGTGAGGTGAGGTGAGGTGAGATGAGGTGAGTTGAGGTGACGTGAGATGAATTGAGCTGAAATAACTTGTGGTGAATTGAAATGGGGTGAGATTAGTAGATTTGAGGTGAAATCAGGTATCTCTACCTTTAATTCTATTCATATCCTTTTCTCTTTCTTTATTTTTATCCTCACCTATATCCCTATAATGCATTAGATAATTAACGTCATTTTGAACATTGCGCCTATGGATAAGTACTTCAGGCAGAATTATCTCACCACGAACCACCATAAGGCTCATGGAAACCGGGTGATTAACTGGCTCGAACGCTGGATACTTTAGAGTGTTGGAGGGTTTTGACTTCTTCCCTGAACAGATAGATTACCGCGCCCCCGGAATGGCTCTTAGCAGCTCCTTCTCTGCCAAAACACCCTCAAGAGAGGACTGGGCAGGGCGGAGTTACTGAAAGAAGGGAGCGGTAAACTTCTTCACGGACGGATCAAAACTTAGAGTAGGGGGTGGACGGTGGGGCATCGTTTAAGCTCAGCGCGTCCTGGACCAAGGCCTGTTGTGTGTTTTATAGCACACACTGGCATGCAAAGCCAGCTTCCATCAGGGATAATCAAAAGAACTCATTATACTTACTTAGAATAGAGGGACATTTCGGATCTCAATGCAGCTAAAAGACATAAGTATATATTTTACTCCGAAGTATTAAAGTCCGAGACTTTTCAGCCAAGCTCTTCACCTAGCGCAACGCTATCACCATAATCTAAAGCCCGAAAGTTTTCGGACATAGATCTAAAGACAACGGGGTTTGGTAGCATCCTCTGTGATCAAGGTGATAAAGCCTCGGCCTATAAAATAAAATCCAATATGAAAGTCGCATAGCCATTTTAATACGATACTATTTTGGAAACGTAATCAAAATTCGTGATTCATTTAAGCAGATCTCTCGGTAAGATTCACTTTGTCTTAACGGATCTATATCAATACCCTGGATCACATACAATAATCGAAAGTATCCCTCATTGCAACTCCTTGAGATGAACTGCAAGCGATGCATCGATGTTTTTGAGACATCAATAACATCGGTTCAAAGTTTCCATTGGGATGGTATCACATTTTTTTTTTTATTATAGGAATACTATTTAATTAAATACATCGAAATGCATCCATATTACAGAAAATTCCATAGGTCAAGGTTGAAAAAAATTTCCTTCAATTTTAACTAGGAATCAATAAATTGCAAAACATCGGAAACCATCTCCTTAAAGAAGAAATTGAAGATTTTTGAATTTCGACGATCTACTTGAAATACGAATATCGAATACTTGCTACAGCACTAATTTTCTGAAAAACGAAAAATTCCTTATAATTTGAGAAAGTTCGATTTATTTTGACCCATATCATACCTTAATTAGTTATTATGTACCTAACGTAGTAGACCAGCATTGGGTATAGAAGTGCGGCTTTCACTACAAACTTCAACTAAACACACCACTTTTGTTGTTCTTCTTCTGCTCTTCAATTTTATTCTAAAGCACACTTGATGCAGTTTTCGCATTGCATTGCAAATTACCAACCAAATCGCAAAATGTTGCAACATTTTATGTGTGGCATACATTCAACAATTACTCAGAGTCAAGCGCAGCCGCAAACGAATTTTGATAAAACACAATTGTTCATACATATCTATATAAGGGATGTATGTACTTATTTGTGAAAATTTGAATTCTATGCTGTGGGCTGCTGCACGATAATTCCCTGCTTACACTAATTTTTCTGCTTTCCTGCACTCGAATAGCAAATTTCAGGCTATTTGTTGAGTGCCATAGAGAAATTTTGCAACTTCAACTATTTTGCTCATAGTTAGTTGGTCACTCACTCAACTTCTCGTTTATTCACAACTACTCTCTGGTAGCCAACGCCTTCTTGCCCTTTTGCATTTTTGCATGGTGGAATATATATGTATGTATGTATATGTAACTCCTGTTGGCCTGCCGGTTGGTTGGTTGGTTCGTTGGTCGGTTGCTGCTACATTTTTTGGCTAAATTATTTATTCTGAAGTTTAAGGTTTTATTTTACACCTTCTTACCGCTCCAACTGTGGGGTTATGTTCAAACATACATATGTATAAACTGTGTGTACATATATACCTTCATTTTAACATTCACTCATTCATTCATTTATTCATCTACTCGACAATGCACTCCCCAACTCTCTCAGACTAACACTACAGCTGGCCACTTACTTATTTATTCATTTGCCAGCATTGTTGGACAATTTCTGGCAGCCAGCAGCACTTCGAAACGATATTTTTGTGCGGCTTCATTTTGCTGCAACCTTTTAATTTGTATTAAAATTCTAGTTGTCCACAATGCTGAAGCTTCTAAATTAAATTTACTTATTTTGTATGAGTTAGCCACAACTTCGGCTGTGTATTCTCTGTTTTACCAGCAACTGGCCAGGAATTCTAAAGCGCTTAATATTTGTGTACCAAAGAGTAAGGCATTGAATTCGTGAGCTGGAAACTTTAATTAGTTAAAAGTAAACTTTTTACGGCCTGCCTGGATTAGTGCATTTCGATGGCTGAGTGGAAGATCGATTTTAATCTTTTTTATATGGCTTTGACCAAATTATTGTATCAATGCGTGGTGGTAAAATTCCAAAACGACTTTGTGCCACCTCATCAATTTTTTTTTACAGTGGTTCAAAATTTAAATTTTTAGGTCACAAATTAATTAAGTTACATATAATTTTTTTATGTATAAATTCGCTTAAAATATAACTTTTGTTTTCAAAGCAGGGACCGAACCATACTGTTATTGATGAAAATTGTCATTGAAAAATTCACTATGAAGGAAATGTTCTACCATGAAGTGATATATACCAATCGATTTCTTTTTTTACCGCGATTCAAATTTTAAAATAAATTTTTATTTGTAATTTTTATGGAAAATTTAAAAAAATAACAATTATTTTCGATTTTTGTTTTATAAATCCAAAATAAGGGTTTTTTTATCTAAATAATCTGTAAATAACAGTTATTTGCGATTTTTATATTATATGTCTTCGATAACAGTTATTGAAGACTTTTATTTATAAAAGTGATCAATAAAAATCAGTCACCGACTTTTATTTTTTCAATCGGACGTATAAAAGTCATTATCATTTTTGGCTGTTAAGAAGGTGTTGGAGATCTAGAAAGTTTAATACGACTTATATAAGTGGCTTTTATAGATATGATTTTAAAAATAAAGGTCTTCAATAACTGTCATCTAAGGTAAATAATTTAAAAATCAAAAATAACTGTTAACTTCGGATTATTTAGATAAAAATCAAAAATAATTGTTATTTTGGATCGATAGAATAAAAAGCAGCAAAAAGTGTTATTTAGGGAGTAATAAAATAAGGGTCTAAAAATATTGTTCAAGAGCGATTTTTTAATAAAACTTGTAACTGTTACGGTCCCTGCTTCAAAGGCATATCCTAAAATTTAGCGCGCAATATATTTAATCTTATTTGGATGAAGCTCTATGTACGGTCATTAAGTCACTATCTTTGTGGATAGTCAAGCAGCACTGAAGGCAATAGGATCTGAAGTACAGAAATCGGGAATTGTTTGGAAATTTTTTACACCCCGCTGGCGTCACTGAGCCGTATCAACGTCACTCTATGCTGGGTTCCCGCACAAAGCAATATTGAAGGGGATGATATGGCTAGATATGGCTCAGTGATGCCAATACATAGAAGAACCGTACATCTCTGTACTACCACCGTTTAATGATCATGTAGGGAAAATGGATCTGAATATACATCGTGGAAGCAACTAATGAATTGTGGAACAAACGAGAAGACTGTGAGATTACGAAATTATTATGGCCACGGCTTCTTCAGGTACGGAGTCGAATTCGAGAAAATTTTAGTTTCCCCCAAACCTCGAACAGGCCGCGGTAGCTTTTCCTGCAATATCTACGCGTACAACATTTAATAAAGCCTTGAGAGCTACACTAGCTAGATTACATACCCCGCTAGTCTCTTATAAGTCCACACTTATTTGGTACAAATAGCAGCTCATCAAGTCTGTATTTACAATTAAAAATATAAATTATATCCTCTATTTTTACATTTTCCCGACATGTTAAGAAATTGCTTTTTCTCATGCTACAGTTTTCCTTTTTTCCCTACCTCTTTGCAGTGACCACCGTCGAGCCGAACATGTTCACCACATGCATCCCAGTGGGTGGCAATTACACTCCTGGTGCCGGTGCAGCCACAAGCGGCGCATTCGCTCCCAACACACTGGCCAACTCGTCCAGCGACTCACTGTCCTCCGGATTCGAAGCAGCCGGCTATGCGGCCTACTCCACAGCGCTTAGCGTGACCATCGCCATCGGCTGTAGTCTGCTCATCCTCAACGTGCTCATTTTCGCCGGCGTCTACTATCAGCGCGACAAGACGCGGCTGGAGGTGAAGACACTGCAAAAGCAATACCAACAGCGCAGCATGCACCAGCAGGTGCCCTACCCGCCAGACCCCATCAAGCACGCCCACTACCACATGGGCCACTCACAGAGCGCCAATGTGATTGTCGACGTGGAAAATCATGGAGGCGATCAGGGCGCCATGCTGCTGGCTGCTGCTGCGGCGGCAGCTAACGCAGCTGATGTTAAGCCACCGCCGCCGCATATTTGTGCCAACAGTGGCATGCAACTCAGCGCCACATTGCAACAGCAACAGCAGCAGGGTGGTGGTAGTAGTGTTGACCTATGTGGCATGTCGGCAGCCGCCAAGCAGCAGCAACAGCAACAAGGTGGTGGGATTATGGTCAGCGGGTCACCAGACGTGGCCGCTGGCCTGATGGGAGGCAGCGGCGGCTGCAACGTGACTTATAGCACGACAACCAAGCAACAGCAACAGCAACAGCAGCAGCAACAACATATGCAACAACATCAACAACAACAACAACAACAGCAGCAGCAGCAGCAACAACAACAACGTGAGCACATGCAGATCAAAGGCATGAGTTCACAAACATTCGGGCGCGCTGCGACAAACGTCGGCGGTGGTGGAGGTGGCGGCATTGGAAATGTTACCATGACCAGCAATCTCGCCTATAATCCCGGCATGATGACGCTGCCCAAAGCGGGCACATTACATCACACAAGCTCAATAAACTATGGACGCAACCCAGGTGGTGGCGGCGGCGGCGGCGGCGGCGTCGGAGTGGGTGGCAGTAGCGGCAATGGTGGCGGTGGCATGACCGCCGCGCTGCTCGACTCACGCGGCAATTTATTACTAACCAGTGGCACAGGTGTCGCCATGGGCGATTGCATGACATTGCCCAGGAATCTAGCTGCTTCGGCTACTCGACACAGCGCAGCGGCAGGTAAGTGCTAACATAACCATAAAACCATAAGTCAGGCGGACATAAAAGCGAGTGTACATAACCACATAAATAGTAGGCATGGAACGAAAGGAGAGTGGAAGTGCAGTGAGAGGAGTGCAATGACGCGCTTGAAGTGAATTGGACAAAAATGTTTGCTTGCTTGTGTGATTTTAGTAGTCATTTCACGCGACATATGTACATGTATGTATGCATTAGTATGTGCAATATGTGAACGGCTCGTAAACTGTACTACCTTAAGCGGAGGATAGTTAGATTTAGACCACTGAACTACCAGAGAAACTACTCCGCCATATTAAGGAATAGGGATGCCACCAATTGGAATAAGGATTTTTTTGTTTTTAACCTAACTTAACTAACACAGATCAAAAACAAACTTTTGATAAAAAATTAAAATTTGCTGGCATGGCAGTAGATGCATTGTAAGAAATAAATTTTGTTTTTGATATTTTCGCAAAGTGAAATGATATCAACAAAAAAACATGAGTAAGTGTTTACGCCAATTTTCACAATTTTGCAGGTCGGTAATTCCGTATTATTATCAGGTATTCTATTATTTTCTTATTATTAGTGAACTAAATAGGTTATTAACTAAAACATATAACTTTTTAATAAAAACAAAAAAAAATCGCGCATTTAAGGGTTAAGCTTAGCAGCTTATAGCTGATTACAATACTTTTGTAAGTTATATGATTTTTTTTCTAGCAATCCTTTGCGTTCGAGGACTCTTCAGGCCTCATATTTAAAAGCCCTTTTCAAAATTCATAAATTAAAGTACTTAAACAGAGCAGTGCGCGCGACTCGTATGACCGCATCTAGAGACATGACCAACTTAAAGTATTTTGGGTCCTTCGATTTTTGGTTCATGCATACATATACTGTAGAGTATTCGTAATATAAAAGAATCGCGTCTTTATGCTTGAAATCTTTAAACAAATGAATGGTCGCCGCGAATAACGTTGTAAGCGACAAGATTACAATTTTGCATAAATAAAAAAGAAAATGTGTGTAATGACGCACATACATAAGCCCATTTGATTTGGTTTTTCACTTTTTCGGTACAGGAGTATTCAATAAACTTGCACTTAAAGTATAAAATATTAATGTAAAATGTATGTACATTCATCGGCGTAGCCAGAATAAAATTTAGGGGGGGCGGGGGG